ATCACAAGGGCTCGGGTCGTGATCATTGCTTTGGCTGCTGCGGCGTCGGTCGCGGGAGGGGGAGCGCCGTAGTCGACAGGAGTCGTAACAGCGCGTGCCCCCCGGACTGTTGGACACTCGCGTGCTGTGTCCAAACTGGGGGCCTGGCGAGGCACCAGGCAGGGCGCCAGGCTCGGCGCCGGATTGGGAGCCGGGCTCGGAGCCGAGAAAGGTGCTGCGCTCAGACCAGCCGGGTTGGGGACCGGACTCGGAGCGGGACTGGGAGCCGGCAAAGGCGCCGGTCAGGGCGCCGGGCTCGGAGCTGGTCTGGGGGCCGTGCTCGGAGCCGGCCTGGCAGCCGGCGCGGGTGCCGGTCAGGGCGCCGGGCTCGGAGCTGGTCTGGGAGCCGTGCTCAGAGCCGGGGGGGGCGCCGCCAGGCAGCAGTGCGCCAGGTGGGGAACCGGGCTGGGAGCCGGCCTGGGAGCCGGCAAAGGCGCCGGTCAGGGCGCCGGGCGGCGAGCCGGGCTGGGGGTTACGCTCGGGGCCGGCCTGGGAGCCGGCGCGGGTGCCGGTCAGGGCGCCGTGTTTGGAGCGTATGTCGTACACTCGGTTCCAGGGAGCGGCAGGTGACCGGGCCCTCGTGCTCGTGCTGCTCCGCTGGCTGGTACGGTCTGAGTCGCGAGAAGGTCGACGTCCGCGCTGGGAGTCGTCGTGGAGCGTGCCTTCCTGACTCTCATACCCGTCTTGGTTGGGAGCGGGCTGAGATCGCCAGTTATCCCAGGTCTGAGATTGGGAGGCGTCACGAGGAGGCTGCTGAGATCCCCCCGGACTCCTGGACGAACGGTGGTTTCGACCAGATTTCGGTCCACGCGAGGGGGGGCGGCCACGGCTGTCCTGACTCCGCGGGCGGCTGGTGCTCTGTGGCGGAGTCGCAGCGTTGGCTGCCAGGTGTGCGTAGGTGCACGCGTCGCCCTTGGCGCAGTGGCCTGCCTGGAAGTGGCTGCAGGCGGGCACGTGGGGGTAGCGGCAGCGGTCGCCGTACGAACAGGCACCAGTTTTGGCGAATCTGTGGCAAAAACGCGCGGCGCCGCCGTGAGGCTGCTGCGAGCCGGGTGGCTGGGCAGAACGCTGGGGTTGGCGAGAGTTCTCGCTGTGAGGGGCGCCAGTGTCAGGGCGGCTGCGGGAGTCCACCATGTGCAGGAGCTTGCACGCGTTTCCCTTGGGGCATTTGCCCTTGCTGAAGGGCACGCAGAAGCCAGTCTTCGGAGAGACGATGGCTGCGGTGTCCCTGTTGCCTGTCCTCAGGTGGTACTGGTTGCGCCGCGTTCGGTGTAGCTCAAGAACAGTTGTGACTCGGTGGTGGAGCCAAGTGTAACAGCGCTCTGGTGCCCCTTTAGGAGCTTTGTTGTACGTGTTCATGTCGTCCTTCATCCAAGGATGCAACTCAATCTGTGTACGAAACAGTGACTCCATAATGTTCGGCGGAGGAAGCTCCCGGAGCTCCAGGAGCAGTTGGTCCCACTCCGTCACGAACCTTTTGAGGTCATCTCCATGCATACGTAGAGTGTTGATCCTTTCGAAATCATGAATCGTATCGTCGGCGTCGGTCACATCGTAATAACGCAAAATCTTCCAGTAGATCTGACGTCCCTTTATCATGCGACCGTGCTTGTGCTCTGTGTTCTCCAGCAATTTGATATCCAGTTTCAATTCGCTGCTGAGAATCGCTTGTAAAGCTTCCGCAAACTTCAGATCCAAACTTGCGAAATCACCGCTGTCCTGTAGATCTTCCAGTGTCACACCGGGCTGTTCTGCAACACAGAAGAACTTGTATGCAGCATCTGGACGCCCAGAGGCACTGCAGAAGGCCTTGCGGACTGCGTGCTGCCACTCAAGAACATGTCCGATTCTGGGAAGACCTGGAACACGCACACGCTCGCTCTCCTTCACCGGTGTGATGGTAGCAACAGGGCTCCCTCCGATGGTGTATTGAGACTGCATGACAGTAGAACCAAGGACGTTGGGCACTGGTGAGTGCGTGCGAAAGCTTGCAGCGTCGAAGTTTGCCTCCTGTGCAGGTGCTGCGGAAGCGGCCGGGGCCGCGGTCCTGCTGGCAGCTGACGGTGACACACGTCGGGCCTGTGGCTGGTAGCCAGCGGCTGGGGTTCCCCCCTGCACACCCCCCGCGTTCGAGGCAGGGGCGCCGGGAGAAGTGCGTCTGGAGGTCGGGGCGTGTGGTGGTACAGGTGTGTGCTGTGTAGCGTCAGCTACGTGGGCCTTGAATTGGTCTTCGAGAATGATGTTGTCACGTTGCAACTGTTCGATGCAGCCTGAGAAACCATCAACATTCCTCTGGACCTCGCGGGTCTTGTCTGTAAGCACGGAATACTGTCGTTGAGTAGACTGGGAAAGGTCTGTAAGAAGAGAACGTAGCTGATCCATGTCGGCCTTTACGCGCGACAGCTCCTGCTGCGTATCCGCCAGGCGGGTCTGCACTTCAGATACCCGTGCCTTTCCAGCATCCCTCTCAGAGCGAAGCTCGTGTAACTGCCTTTGCACGTGGTCCGCCTCCGCACGCACGGTCCGTTGTACGGCTGCCAGTACGGCGGGGTCGTCAACCGAAGAAGGGGGCACCAGCTGGCCAGTCTGGGCCCTTACAACGCGCAGCTCAGTCACGGCCTCTTCGAGAGTCAGGACTCTGGCGGTGAGCTTTGGGATCGAATCAACTTGGGAATCAGAGAAACGCTGGTTGACAACATTTTCGGCTTGACAGAGTTTGCCGTAGAGATCTTGTTGGACTTGTTGGGTCTCAGCACGAAGATCAGATGTAGCAGACATCGTGGCGTCACGAAGCTCAATAATCTGGCCCTGGAGAGCTGAGGGAGCCGCGCCGGCGCTGGCGGCAGCAACTGCTTGGAGTTCATCGTGGAGAAACTTGGCGCGAGTATCATTGTGGTCACGCATATGGATAAAACGTGCTTCCAAATGAGAGAACTCGGAGTGCACAGCGGCAAGCTCGGAGCGGTCTTGGCCACGCTGAGCGGCAACAGCATCGACCTTCGAAACGAGTTGACACATGACGTGACGATCCTCGTTCAACCTAGCGTCGACTTCCTGCAAACCTTTAGCGAGATCCGATCGCAAGATCGCAGTCTCAGTGGCGGTTGCCCGGTGCACGAGAGCAGTCTGATGCTCCACATCCGTCTGTACCTGGTCTCTTAGCTCAGCCATATCTGTTAGGGGGACGGCGGCAGGCGCAGCCACAGGTGAGCTGACAGCGCGTCTTCGTGCCCTCTGGGAGGGACTGCGGCTGTGCAAATCCTGGGCTGCAATCTGGAACTGTTCGGGGCCACGTCTGTCACGAGGCGAAGCTGCGCGAGAACGAGAAACAGTGACTTGACGACCGGCGAAGGCTGCGCCGTCGCGGGTCTGAGCACGAAACTCGAGGGCGCGGACGTGCTCTCGGACTGGCGTCACGGCGCGGGTGACTGGGTTCCGTCCTGGCGCGCCGGCGTTCGCGTGACTCCCGCCCCAGCGGCGAGATCCTCCAGAGCCTCTCTGCACGGGACTTCCCTGTGGAGGCGAAAGAGCCTCCGAGTGGGCCCCCCCAGCAGGGGCCCGAAAAGTCGGGGTCAGATTTTGAGGAGGTTGAGGAGTCTGGAGCTGAGGAACTCCAGGAGCCACAGGGTGTCTCGCTCTGACAGCATTTCTGGGCGGATCATGCCGTGGCACGAGGACCTCAGCGCTCTGAAAGAGATGCTGCGCAGCACCCTAATAAAAAAAAAAAAAAAAAAAAAAAAAAAAAAAAAAAAAAAAAAAAAAAAAATAAGAGAAAGCAGAAACGAAGCAAAGAAAAAGCGGAAAAAGAGAATAAAAGAAACGAGAAAGGCTGCGGTCTCCCGCTGCATCCGACACGTTGGGCGACGCGACGGGATGAACGACTGACGACGAGGAAGGGGCCTGGAACTGAGGAGTACCAGGAGCGTGTCCTTGTCCAGTGTCAAGACCCTCAGTACCTGGAGAAATGGCCACACGATCAGCTCGCGGGATGCCATGCACGTCCATCAAAACTTCAATCTCCTGCTCCAAGTTGCGCGCCACGGGGTCCGCCACGCCGTCGCGAAGAGGCGCGGGGCCGAGAGGCGCACCGCCCTCCATCGCGACTGAGTGGGGGGCTCAGGAAGCGCGGAAGTTGGAGCGATTGCGTTTTGAACAGAGAAGGCTGATAACCTGTGTGAGGGGGAGGGGGACCGAAGGACCGAACCCCCCCCAAAAGTGTCCGTAGGTATACGTGATGAGGATGATGAAGTTTTGTTCCAGGCCACATCACCCTCTGAGTACGGAGTACCATGCATCCGAAGCCGAAGGGGGATGGATATGAGCAAAGATAAGGGGAAGTAGGGGAATTCACGCACAGGCATGAGCCCTCTTTGCCACGCCGCCTGGGCGGCACACTTGCCGCGGGTCCGCGAGATAGCGCCGCTTGCGGGACCTGAGCGCGATGCGGCGGTGGCGGCGAGCCAGACGAGCGACGCACTCTTGCAAAAGAGGCGCGAGGCGGCGTTGCAATTTTGGCGAGAGCGCAAACGCGCGACGGCTTCAGAATGGAAGGCGCCGCCCGGCACGCCGCTACCGCGAAGCACCGGCGGAGAGCGCGGTCGGGCGAGGCGCGCTATGCGAAGTTACCATGGCATGTGCGCTCCGTCCTTGGGCCTGACAAGAACTTGTTGCTTTTGGCCGAAATGATGCAAGCTGCTGGGGTGACCAGCGACGCAGCGCGCGCGCGCGCGACAGCGGGGCGCGGCTCCGTGCTTGAGGCGTCCGACGAGAATTTGACGCGTGACTTGGAGCGGGGCTTCCCGCTAGTGGGGGCCCTGCCGCGCTCGGGCATGAACGCGCCCGTGACCCCCAAGGGAGCCGAGTGCCCATCCGAGTTGCGCAGCCGAGCGGACACTTTGAACGCCGCCACCCTCGAGCGCGTGTCTCGGGATCTGGGGGCCGACGCGGAAGTCACCCAGATTTTGCACGATAAAGCATACGAAAGGGCGCGCGCCGCGCAAGCCAGCGGGGACAGTCGCCCATGCTGCGACGTCCGCGAGCGCGCAGGTGGCCGCGGGCCAGGCAGCGTGGGCCCGGTTGTCCGACCTGCCACGCGGGGCGGTGTTAAACCCGCGATTCCCTGTAGACGAGGGATGGCGCTGGAAGTTGGAAGAATGGATACGCAAGGAATGGCGCATTCGCCGCGGCATGCACCGCCCCCTCCCCTGGACGCCGCGCCGGGAGCCAACGCGTCCAGGTACGCGCGATCGACGATTTCACTGCCACGGGCGTTACCCAGAGGCCTCTGCTATCTTAGTTTAAGATCGTAAAACTATGTTCTTAGAGCCTCTAAGAACGGCAAGGACTGTTCTTAAAAAGACTAGATGTAAGATCTCACGCTCTTGGAAACATTCAAAACTTTATGTGTTCACTACTATCTGCACTGATTTGCACAACATTGCATTGCTTTGCACTGCTTGGCATTACCTTGCGTTCGATATTGGCATTGGGTGGCGCTGCTTGGCATTGCTGCGCGTTGCTTTACCTTTGCTTTGCAAGATTGGCAGATTTTTATTTGCTTTCAACATTATCATGATACGTGCTGTTGCTTTGCATTGCTTTGCATTGCT